CCAGGTGAAGCACTACGGGTCAAGGCAGCTGTAAAAGTTTTTAGCTACATAGCTGAGGAATGAGAATATGAATTAACAGCTGCTTCAAATAATCAAGAAGTGTGGATAAAAATCACGGGCAAATGTTTTTTGCAGCTCGATATGATATACGAGCGGCAAGAAGAGTTCGTGAATTCGCTATTTACATTGGCAATGCTCAATGAGACACGTCGTGAGGTGTGGTCACAGCTGACCAGGCAACATATGCATAATATGAGTGACCATCTGTTTACCGCATTTGAGAAATTCTTCCTCACCGCAGCTGAGGTCCGCGCTAACGATACGATCGAGATTTGGTCTTTCTCCACCGCCATCTTCTTTGCCGTTACTGTTGTCACCACCATTGGTTCGTCGATTCAACATTTTTTATTAGCAATTACTTTAAAATTTTCCAATTCAGAATTCTGTCTTCACGTGCGATACCACTTCCGACATGCCGTGAGGGGGACCAAAAATCGCATTCCCAAATTTCATTTCAGGATATGGTAATCCGGTGCCAGTTACACAGCTGGGCCGAATGATGTGCATTATTTTTTCGTTATTCGGTATTCCATTAACACTGGTAACCATAGCGGATATCGGTAAATTTTTGAGTGAGCACTTAGTGTGGATGTATGGCAACTACCTCAGATTGAAGCATTTCCTGTGGGAACGACGTCACAGGCACAATGCTCGCAAGGAACGGGTGTGCGAACACTGCCAAAGGCAAGGATTCACCAACAACATACACTTCATCGAGGAGCAGAGGTAAGCAAATTTCTACTGGATCGGATTGATCAGAATATTAAAAACAGTGGAGAAGCCATATGAAACACTCTGAATTTCATCCCTTAGCTGTAAACACAAACAAAGCAGTGCTTGTGGGTAGAAGTGGGAATCATCAGTGTTTAAAATTTTTTGAAAATTCGAGATTGGTTGCGTGCTTAGTCGATCGTATCGAAGTGTCTCTTAGTAACAACATTAGCACGAGGTGCCCATATCGATCGTCCGAGTGGTCTTGGTA